CTTCCGTACAAAGCTGCTTGGGTGCCTCTGAGCCTGGGTGGCGTGTGCAAGAGCCACAACTGAGCTCAGGCTACCAGCTGCTGGTTTTGGTAGCATCAGTCTGAGCTCCTCAAAAGCCACCTCTCAGCTGTCCCCTTGCTCTGGCCCTACACACTGAAAGTCCTGGGCATGCCAAGCAACAGAAGCAGGCAGCTCAGTAACTCAGCTAATCCATATACCACAGGCACTGGTGGCATTTCTCAGTCAAAGGCCTAATGTGACAGTCATTTCCAAAACGTACATGTACTGAATCAGGTTCCTCATGGGCACAGCTGGAGGGGGGTTGCCAGAGCCTGCCCTCCTTGCCCCTCGTCGCCCAGTAGTTAGAGCATGCTGGGAAGGAGGGAGAGGCAAGCTGAAATCCCCTCAGGCAAGAAAAGGAGAGGAACTGTTTTTCTTGCTTTAAATGCCTGCTCTGGATAAAAGGTGGCTCCGTCCTGCTTACTCTGCTTGGCGAGGAAGAGGTTATGCCAGCCCTAACTCCAGAAGAGACTTCTCAGCTGAGCAAAGCAGAAAGAGGGAGTAAGAGCTGCAGAGAGATGAGGCTCAGGGCATTTTCTGCTGGCAGACCCCAGCAGTCAGATCCACTCTCAGCATGCCAAGACTCATAGACCATCCCTTGCATGTGGTATGCATGAGGTATGCAATGGATACCAAGACTGTCAGTTCCGTTTGACAGCAAGAACGGAAGAATCTGGTAGAACAGCTCATTACATTGCTACGCCTAAGCCATAGATACATACAGACTTGAAAAACATACCCCAGACTCGCTGACCCAGAAGCTTAAGTTGAAATGCTCTGCCTGGCATGCATCAACATGGCTGTTTATAATCACAAGTGAACAAGCACTCATTGTTAAAAGATGTGGCTTGCTTACTTCTGGAGCTGAGGCAGAAAAAAAAAAGGTTTATTTTTCTTTTGAGTATCAGTCGTATTCACTGAGTTATATATTCACTGCATAATATTTGATCACATGCAGAACAAACAGATCTTCACCAAAACAAGTCCAAATTTTGCCATGCCAAAAACTCCCATGAAAAGTATCATGCCAGTAAAGTGCATCTTCCCCCCTCATTTCAACTGTGTAAGCTTCTGCTGCACGCGGTGCACGTGCGTACATATCACTTAGCAATAAGCACTGTGACCCTGCTGACCTGACAGAGCAAATTTGAACAAACAGGAAAAAAAATATTTACCAAAATGAATGAAATAGATTAGAATTTATAGCCTCATTTTTATATCTCATCACTGTTGTTCCCAAGGGAGAGGCTCCCAGTAAGAGACCATAATAACACTCAGCAGCTATCTTTATTTACCAAATTCACATAGTACTTCCATTCCAAAGCCCAATTGAGTATTATTTACGATAATTAAGTCACGATATTAACATGAAATTGGTTTGTATGTGGTTACTCAAGCTGAGCACTATCTAGAGCTCAGGGCAGGATTGATCTCGCATGTGGTGGGATGAGACAAGTCACCCTCTGCAGATGGCTGTTTCTCCCCCCCTAACTGAAAAGGGAGTGCGTAGAGGGATAGAGTTAGTTGTCCAAGTCTAAAGGTAGGCGATGTGAATCCCAGCCCTACTATTTTTTTACTACTTAGTATGTGTATGTGCTGTTCTCCAGTCATTTACACCTGAGGGGAGAGAGATGGAAGGAAAACACTCTGCTTTTGCTTCCCTGGGAAAACTCCTTCGGGAAATACTCTGGGGCAGAGCAGCAGACAACACTTTTAGTGTTAGCAGGGAAGTTTTCCCAGAACAGAGTTAGCTTTTCTTTGGTTAACTCATGGCATTTTAACTAGGTAACAAACCAGAGGGTGGAGGAATAAGGACATACCCTGCAGGTGGAAGTGTGATGTGTAATGAGAGCTCACTTTCATTTCTTTCATGTTGCAGGATTGTGCCCATCCCCTGTCCTTCCCCTCTGCTCCACGCAGCAAGTCCAAGAACTTTCTGGCCTATGCAGAGGCCCAAATCAATACAACAGCTAAAGCTTTCATGGCAGCAGGGCTTGCACTTCTCTTTGAAAATGGGCTTATGTTTCCTGGCTCTTTGCAGGCACGATCTTTATATCTGACAAAACATTTTCATGTCCACTGGGATCTGGTACACGGAGATCCCTAGAAGTAGAGTTGTGGCAAGTACTATACTCACTTGAGAGGTTGGACCATGCTTCTAAAATACATAAATTAAAAGAAGCAGGCTAAGAGCTGGGGCTCCGTAACCCAGAAGCATGAGGAAGCGAGACTGGTGGGAGCAGAATTAACTGCTTTGGTTTATCCCACTTGGTGTTGCTGGTGCCAAAAATTCTTCACAGTATTTTGTTGCATTCACAGTCTTTCCACACCAAACTTCCCAAGCTGTAATTTCAGTTTTTCTTTTTCCTTTATTATTTTGTGTGCTCATCTTGCTCTTTCACTCAAAAGCTCCTCATCCAAGGATTTGTTTGTAGGAAACCCTGAGAGATCACATCCCAGGATAGGTGAGACTCTGGGTATTCATAGTCAGGGAGTTTGGAGTTCAGTTGTGGACCATGGTTTGCCCTGCCTGTTTGTTCTTCAGCCTAATTTGTGTATTTAAGAGGGAGAGAAAAAAACACATGCTGCATTGTTGTAATTCAGAATAGATTTGAATGTATGTCCTGCAGCAGAGCAGCTCCCTTCCATGCATAGGTTCACTCGGGCTAACAGATCAAGGAGGGGAACGGAGCCTTTCTCCTCTCCTGAGGACAAGTAATAAATCCCTTCACACAACTTCTGCGTGTCCATACTGAAATGGCAGGTTGGTTGGGGCATTACTTCAGCCGCTGCTGATGGCATCAGGCCCCTGGATTCCCCCTGTCTGGCTGCACCATGGCCCCTAGTCGGAGCATGGCAGCTAATTGTAAATTGCCCTCCACGCTGGAGAACACACACATGAGTGGATATGCTTAACACTGTCCAACTCCATCAAATCCATTCTGGTGCTTCAAGGCCCTGAAGATACACACCCTTCCAGAAGGAAGTTGGAGGTCTTGGGATCCTCCCTCTAATT